GATAGATTAAAACAGAGAGAGATGGACAGACAGCCATAGAAAAAAAATGAACAGACATAGATAGATAGATAGATAGATAGATAGATAGATAGATTGATAGATAGATACTCTGTTTATAATAAACAGGATTAACTCCATTTACTAAATTTAGGCTGGGGTAGGGTGATGGCTCTTTCAAATGACGATCCACCTACCATATTCGTTTTTTATTTGGTCGTGGTGATGGGGGGGCTCATACATCAGTTACGTAAACAAATGCCAAACTGCATATATATTTCTTATCACTATAAACGTTATTACCCTTTACTAGGCCACTTGTTGTTAATTTCACTGTTTAATAAAATAAATAAAAAGGGTACCAATTCAAACATATGTACCCAATAAAAATAGCGTGTATCATAATAAGAAATAATATCAGTTAAAAATCCTCTCAAAAAATTACTGTTGCTTACGTTTCGGGTACGAAAATGAAGCTAGCAGATATTGATTCTTAGAATACCCAAATAAAAAATACATTCCATCTTTAACAGGTTATTCTGACTTTGCCTAGGAGTCAGGCTCCGCGGTCGAACTGGTAGAGGCACGTTTCCGATTAAGAAATAATGTAAGATAAAAAAATCCTTTCAAAATATTACTGCTGTTTAATTTTCGGGTACGAAACTGAAGCTAGCAGATATAGATTCGTAGAAATCTCAAAATGTAAAACATGTCTTCCTTAACAGGTAATTCTGACTTTGCCTGGCTGCCAGGCTCCGTGGCTGAACTGGTAGCGTTGTGGCCTGTAGCTGAGTGAAAATGTATCAGAAGGTAATTTATGTAAGGCAAAGATTATGCGTGCTTATTATGCATTATCCCACAACACTTAGATCAAATAAAGAATATAAGGACAATTTGTATTGCAAGAAATTACTAAAAACACAGTGATTAGAGATCCAACAATAAAGAGTTGATTTTTATATATACAATAGATATACATGCATAACATAGATATACAGGATAACGGAATGTTTGTTGATTGTGGCAATTGAGACAAGGTTATGAAGAATGTTCATGCAGAAATTTGGTCAATAAAAGTTAATGGTTTTGATTTGTTAGTGAAATTAAAATAATTTAGTTTCTGCAAGGAAAAATCTCAAATTGTGTTCGTTCAAATATTAGTGTGTATGCGTGTGTTACTTGTTAATTAGAATTTAAGTTGTGAAGAGTTGTTTGCCTTTAACTGTTTGGCTAAATTGATGAATTGTACAATTACTGTTTGTGTAGTTAAAACGTTCACTTTTTAAGTCAATTGTAATTTGATTACCACGCGGACAATGGTCGATTGAGTGCTGTGTTGAGTTTGTTGAGAATTTTGAAGTGATGTTGAGTCAGTGAATTGACCCGCGTGGAGTTTGGCAGCATCTCACGAAACTTGATGACTGACTGACTTGAATTGAGTCATGTAGCTGTTTATATAGACTTTGGTGTTTCAAAATCAGCTCCAGGGGGCTTCGGCGGGGAAAAGGATCTGTTTCGATTTTGCTACAGTTTAGTGTTTCTTAACCAATAGAAGAGTGAATTTACTGAAACGAAGTGGTGATTGGTTAAGGCTTTTTTAGGGAAGAATACATCTCTCCGAAAGGGTGGAAGGCTAATGTGGAAGATTCCAGAGTAGAGGCACATTTCCAATTAAGAAATAATGTATGATAAAAAATCCTTTCAAAATATTACTGTTGTTTAATTTGTGTGTACGAAACTAAAGCTAGCAGATATTAATTCTTAGAATACCCAAACAAAAAATACATTCCATCTTTAACAGGTTATTCTGACTTTGCCTGGCAGTCAGGCTCCATGGTCAAACTGGTAGAGGAACGTTTCCGATTAAGAAATAATGTAAGGTAAAAAAAAAGCCTTTCAAAATATTACTGCTGTGTAATTTGTGGATACGAAACTAAAGCTAGCAAACATAGATTCGTAGAAGTCTCAATGTTTAAAACATATCATCCTTAACAGGTTATTGTGAATTTGTCCAGACAGTCAAACTCCTTGACTGAACTGGTAAAGGCACGCTTCGGCTTCAGAAGTGGTTTCCATGAGGCAGAAAAGGGATTCAAGTTCAACATGAGGCTGTCTTTTTCTTTAGTAGGACTTCTCTCTTTACGGCCGCTTGTTATCAATTTCACTGTTTAAGAAAATAAACAAACAAGAATAACAACTCAAATACTAAAAATAGCGTTTATAATAAGAAGAAATTATGTCGAATAAAGACCCTTTTATAAAAACAGATAGATAGATAGATAGATAGATAGATAGATAGATAGATAGATAGATAGATAGATTAAAACAGAGAGAGAGATAGACAGACGGCCATAGAGAGATAATGAACAGGCATAGATAGATAGATAGATAGATAGATAGATAGATAGATAGATAGATAGATAGATAGATTAAAACAGAGAGAGAGAGAGAGACAGACGGCCATAGAGAGATAATGAATAGTCATAGATAGATAAATATGCAT